TATTTGCAATTATTATTAGATGTTATTTTAGCTTCAGATGACGTTTTATTATCATTGACATTTGATTTTTATAAGCATGTTATTACACATTATTTTAAATATCCTCCTAAGGATGATCACGATTTAAGCGGCATTTATCGCTTTGTGTTTTTATTTTTACGAAATGTGAGATTAGAACAAGTTAATAACTTCAAATTCATTTTTGATATCGTTCCCTCATTTCCAACACGCGCTATTAAATCATTTTTTGATGATTTCTATGATTTAGCGATAGACGATGTAAAAAACAATAATATAATTGATACAGCTCGTAATTATTATATAGAACTTTTTAAACAACATTGGTCCAATACTTTTACTTGATTTATTATATTTAATGTGTAAATCATCTGACAATATTGTCGAGAATTATGCAAAAGAAGTGTTGATTTACTTAGAAGAACTGATTGAAAAATATGGACCCTATATTTATTCTAAATTTAATGACAGTGCTATGCAAACACACATTCACACAAATGGAGATGTATTTATTTGTTTATAATATTTTAACAATTAAAAATTCAATTATTAATTATATATTAGTTATTGATTTAATGAATGGCCAATCTTGTAATGATGAAGTAGATGATATTCATCTACATCATGGAAATTTTAAAGAATTCAGATCAGCCTGTTGTGTCTATGTACTTTAACAGTTGTTTTGGATAGAAAGTGTAAATATGTAAATACGAGTATATAATAATTTCTAAAAATCTTGAAGAAAAATATATACAAGCTGCAAAGTAACTTTAAAAAAGATAAAATTTTATTTTTACATGTACATTATGTTGCTATTTAGGACGAAAGTAAGTTATGTTGTATTTTTGTTATAAATAAAGTTTGCAATATAGTGATAATAATTTCTCTAAATATTGTGATTGTATTTTCTATTTATAAGCTTTGTACTGACTATTTATTGTTGCTATTAAAATATATTTTAATATTTGATCTGTTTGTATACCTTGTGCGAATTTTCAAAACCCTGTATAGAGTAAGGCACTTGGAAATTGTGGATGTGAAAATTATTTCAATTTGGATAGATAGCTTCCCATCTATCTTTCTTAATTAAAATATTAATCTGTACAGCCTGTGCCCCATTGTTAAACGCACAATGTGTGCTAACATCTCTTTGATGAAAAAAGAAAATTGGAGTTTTTCTTAATTCCGTATAAAACTATTTTATTTTCTTTCCTACTAGTTTCGGCTATTATGCCATCTTCAGGGTTGATCAAAAATAACAATCTACGGAAAATAAATTGATTCATAAACTACTAATGACTAACAACAACAATAACAAGACACATTGACTATTAAGTTATTTAAATCTTGTCTGTTTAATATCAATCATATAAGCAATTTACGGTTTTAGAACATTGATTATTTCTTTTTCGTAGATATAATTTGTTATTAAAAATAAATATACCAAAAGTTATGACTTACGACAAAATGTTAATTTAAAAAAATAACTGAAGTACCTAACATAACTGTTAATCTGGGTTTCCGGAAAAAACATGTTAAGGTACTACTACCACTATTATTAATAGAAAATTTTTTGTGTCACTAATGACTGAAATTTTGTTACAGTTTATAGGTAGGATTTATTCTTTTCTGTCACTTTTTTTCAACAAAGAATTGAAAATTAAAACAATTTTTTTATTTTTTATTTTAATTCTCTGAAGTTAGTATTTATATCTTAATGTTGGTATACAGGCTGTTACAAATTCGCTTCTCACTACAGGGATCTCGGAAACTGAGAGATATACGAAGTAGCTTAAATGGGGGCAAAGTTGCGTAATCAGGGGACCAATATTATGCCTCTAAAAAATCAAGGCTAATATTATTCGTTTTCGAATTATTTGAAAAAAAAAACCGAAATTTTAGAAATCCGTTTTTGTTTCATTTCAGCCTTGTTTGAGGTGATATTGAAAAAAGAACAACACTTTCTCTTGGCCACTTTTTGCCCTCTATCGAATGGCATAATCAATTTTTGTGTATAACGTTTCGTCTCTCCAGGACCATCATCAACTTCATTTTTTAAATACGACCCTAGAAATTTTATTACATTTTTTGCAAGCCTTCACGACCCCCAATACTGTACTGCCCCAGACGTTTTGTCTCGAAAAATTCATCTTCAGTGTATTTGTTCCAAATTTACCTAAATTTTTTATTTAGATTTCTTTGTTTATTGAGTTATCGTACACTGTAAGTGTCGTTAGACCCTGTGAAATCCATCCTGGAAATATTCAAATATTTCGAAAACCAATCATGTTAGCCTAGATTTTTTAAAGGCATAATGTTGGTCCCCTGATTACGCATCTTTGCCCCCATTTAAGCTAGTTTGTATTTCTTACCGTTTTCGAGATCCCTGTAGTGAGAAGCGAATTTGTATATCATATCTGATTTTTTTATATTTTATCAAAAACAAATCGATACTGTTATCTTGTATTTGTTTTACGTGGCGCCTTTCAATCATTATTCCTTTACGATCTGCTGCTCGCATACCTATTTATAGATTATTAATCCACGACTAAATTCAAAAGATTAGTGACTATTTTCCATTGTTGCTACGTACAGGTAAGAATTGAATTAAAACCAATAAATACCTACTTTTGAGGGTAAGAGTAAGTTTGTATAACCCGACCAAGTAAAAAATTCCTAGCAGATATTCATATATTAAGCTGTTACTGAATTTCTCGTTAATCCATACGAAATTAAAAAAATATAACATATTAAGCTAGATTCATAAGTATCTTCATTTGCACATATCATAGTCATCTATTATCTCATTTGAAAATAAGCTACAACAAATATATTATTACTGGTGGTTCTCTAAACTCTCGCCACAAACTGTGACGCTCTGTTCCATTTCCTTGATTCGATGCTCTGCACGTTACATAATAGAAAGCGTAACGTAACACTGCACTGACCTGTGCACCTAGATAAATGATACTGTAGATAGGAAACTTGAACAAATTTCGTGGTCATCAACAGCACTAACTGTTGACACTTTCTCCAACTTCTATTGCTTTCCTTTTCTAGGAATTATCGGTAATATAGTGAGTTAAATTACCTGTAGCCGGTAAAAATGCAAGCGCCATCTAGTTGTACGCTCTACAACTATATACCTACCCAATATTTGTTTTAGGTATTCTGCCGCCGCCAAATTTAAAATTAAATAACAAATCTCTCCCTACACAGATCACTCAGAAATTGGTTTTGTAAAATAATTTTCACGTAGATACTTTTTGTCACCATGAGAAAATAAGTACATTTGATAAAAAGCATTAAAATCACTCAAGCATTAAAGACACTTTTAAATGCTCTAATAGCCTTCCTACTTAAAATAAGAAATAATTTTGATACTATAACTTTTTGAAATGTTTGTTGAAAAAATTTCAAATTTCAGTACATATTTTGAAAAAAAAAGAATGGAAATGATTATAGAGTTTCAGTGATTTCTATATTGTATTAGCTTTCACGGTGATTAAAAAAATATTACAAGTAAATAATTTTACTAAACCAATCTTTGATTAATTCTTGTAACAGAGATTTATTATGCAACTTTAAAATTTTCGTTGTGTTGATATCCATAAAAAAACTACCTACCTCTGATCACATTTTTTATTAAAAAAAACAAAAAAAAAACATTTTATTAATAAAAAAAATGTGATTATATGATGATCAGACATTATTATGTTATATCAATAAATGGGTTGGACTATAGCTCTTGGGTACCTGGCATATCTCCGTCAAAAATGACCTAAGAGCGCACGTAATTTCAACTCGCCCCTTCCGCCCTAGGGGGTGCAAAGGGGGGTGAAGGGTGGTTTTTTGGACGTACCCTATTTATTTTGCGATTTTCGGATTCTACGCGTAAAACTACCCACCTCATATGGACTTTGTCGTTTTTTCGATGACTATAGTTCTTGGGTACCTGGGCATATCTCTGTCAAAAATGAATATAAAAATCTGAAATTTGAGGGGTATACTATATACTATACTATTTTGGTTTTTGTGCGAATTCGGCAAGAACGCATTTCCGGGGGTAGTTTTACGCGTAGAATCCGAAAATCGCAAAATAAATAAGGTACGTCCAAAAAAACCACCCCTCACCCCCTCTGCACCCCCTAGGGTGGAAGGGGTGAGTTGAAATTAGGTGCGCTCTTAGGTCTCCCCATCTAGAGTACACCCTTAAAATTTCAGATTTTTATATTCATTTTTGACGGAGATATGCCAGGTACCCAAGAGCTATAGCCCAACCCAAAATCTTTGTGGCGACATCTATACTCTTTCCCCAACTTGTATATCCATCTCAAGTCACGTGGTTCCTAGTTTCCCCATATTTTCAAGTATAAGTTCTCGGGCTCTGCCTGTGCAGTTTCCGTCACTTTTCGTTAAAATCTGTCGTCCGTGAATTTGTCACATTAAAAAAATGAATTTTTGTATTTGCATCGGCGGCACAATTTCAAAATGGTCGTCTTCATTTCAGTAACAGCGGGATTGTAATACCTCTAAGTATAGGAAATAGTGTTTTATGGTGTGTTAAGTTGGTGATTATAAAAAATTGCCTTTCAAGGACATTGGACTGCCTAGAATAAAATACACATTTACGACCACCGAACATTATACGATTTTATGAGAATGCAATTAACTGACACTAATACGTCAAAGCTAATTCGTCAACTACTAAAGTTAACATCTTGGGTTCAATATTTTTTATCCTCGCTAGCTGCCAATTAAAAAAAAATGTAATTAAATATATATTTTTGGATATTTCTTCGCAGTGTTTGTTGTTTTGCAGAAATAATGTAAGGGTATCACAGGGTATTTTATATTTTAAAAAAGTATCTGCCACTCCAAAAGGAATGTATTATCAAGGGAACAAATTGCTCTAAAACTATTAGAAATGTGACTGAAGAGGCTTATGCTCTAAAATCCATAATGAATTAATAGACTTTTTCTACACCCGTATTATAACAATGCACTTATATGCCCATAATCCGTTTCATAATGATACCCATTACGATACAGATTTTTCATTACGATACAGATTTTTAATCAATAGAAACCCATAATTTTTCAATCAAGCATGCTGTGCATTTGACGTTTATCCTAGGTTCCTATGTAATTATTTTAGATGTCAAAATCAGTACGTATTAAATTTTCGTAGATACCTAGCTAAACTTCGATAATTTATCAAAATGTCTGATATCAGCGATATAGAATTACCATCGACTCCTCCACACATATCGGAGAAAGCAGAAAATGCAGTTCAAAATATTTTACCCCAAAAATCTAAGAAAGTGTACGAAAAACTTTATCAACGGTTTATGGACTGGAGAAATACAAATAATATTTCGACATTCTCCGAAAATGTTTTAATTGCTTATTTTCAAGAATTGATGGAAACTATGAAATCATCTAGTACATGGACACATTATTCAATAATAAAAACGTTGGTAAATATAAACCATAATATAAACATTTCTAAATATAAGAAACTACAAGCTTTATTAAAGCGAAAGTCCGAAGGATATGTTGGAAAAAAAGCAAAAATATATTCACCTGAACAAATAAAAACGTTTATCGACGAAGCACCCGATGAACGGTTTTTATTTTTAAAAGTAAGTATCTATCTAACATTGCATTTTTAAAAAAAATTCATGATTACATTTTCCATTCGACTCATGCATGATAGGTATATTTCATTAATTTCGAGCAAACTAATGAACCGAACTCGTGGCCGAGCGGGTTAAGGCGCTCAATTTGGACTAGACTACAGTATGAGATCCGGGTTAGAAACCAGCCTAGGTCATCCTGCTTTTTTTTTTATTTTTCTTTTTTTCTTTTTTTTTTCTTCTCTTTATTTATTATTGTTGTTTTCTTTTAGGTAGCAATGATTTTTGGAATAATGGGAGCATGTCGAAGGCATGAACTACATGACCTAAAATGTGAAAATGTCAAAGATATGAATGGAATCTTAATTATTAATGTGATAGAAACTAAAACAAAAGTACAACGAACATTTACAATTACCGGCAAATACTACGAAATTAGTAAAAAATATCTGAATCTACGGCCTAAAATTTGCCCCACCCCATCTTTTTTCGTTAATTAAGTATTTAAATGGAAAATGCACAATTCAAAACATTGGTATTAATAAATTTGGTGATATAGGGAAGAAAATAGCAACATATTTAAATCTGCCTGATCCGAATTTATATACAGGGCATTGTTTTCGTAGGACATCTGCAACCGTATTAGTAGATGCCGGTGGTGATATTACTACATTAAAACGCCATGGTGGCTGGAAATCCAATTCAGTGGCAGAAGGCTACATTGAAAATTCGGTTCAGAATAAAATCAGCATTTCCAATACAATATTGAACTCTATTGAGACTAGCAATAATGAAATAAATGTAAATATTCCTTCCACTTCCAGATCAGTGGGACCTGGAATAAACTTTTCAAACTGCACAATAAATAATCTTAATATTTTAAAAAAATCGGATTAATTACAATTATTATATGTTGAATATAAATACAAATAAAATGTTTATAGTTTTCTTGTATCTATGGCAATACCAATACCCGAGGTATTAATTACAATTTTGTAGATTTTTTTATAGAAATACGAATAATTACTGTTACCTATTGTGTTCAATAAAAATATAAAATTTATGGTTTTTGATTATTTATCGGGTGTAGAAAAAATAGCGTATGCAACTCTCATGTAATGGTTATTAATACACTCCCATAAACCATACGAAGCTCGCCTTCGGCTCGTTTCGTATCCCGGTTAATGCTCGTGTATTAATAACCATCATTACATGATCGTTGCATAATATACTATTAGTCAAAGGTTTTCGAGAATGTTGAAATTAAAAATATATATGTAAGTATTTCTTATTCAAATATATCTGAAGATGTTTGGCATAAATTGATGGGACTCTAACTCGAAAACCAGTGGCTTTAAATGTGGAATTCCTAAACCTTTTTTGTTTAAGGAACACTTAGGTAAGGAACAAACTCTTGAAATTATGATATGACTAAAAAATACGAGAATACTCGTATACACGTCGCCGTCGCCTACTCAAATGAAAAGACACGAGCTGCCACTGTTTTCCAGTTAGTCTAAAACCATTTCTCTAATATGAGTCAGTCGCTGTTAGTCGCTTAGATACTACACTACAACTAAGTTGTTTTAATTCGTTACTAATGTTTCTATCTATATCTCATCATCTATGAGTGTTTACGTTTATCTTAGATGCTGAAGGATAATATAACATAATACGTATTTCTACTAAAAAATAATATTGGAGCTTTAACCTACTCAAATACACCGATTCAGTGTATCAACTGGGAATATAAATGGAATAACATTAACTCATATTGTGCAATTTTTTAGGTAAGAACCATTTATTTTGAAATGTTTTGTGTATAGATAAGTAACTATGTTTATTCGTACATCTTTCCACTCGTGAAAAAAAAAAACAAAACTATTAAACACAAACCCAACAGGATTAATTAAGGGTTATTTTTATAAAATCATGTTCGTTTTCAATTTCAGTTACGCAGAAAGAGTAGGGTGTTTACAAACGTGGAGAGAATTTTTTAATGGTAGGTAGGACGCATTAATAATAAACATTCTCAATAATCACAGCACAGGTAATCCAAACTAACAATTTTATTTCGCTGTCGACATTTTAATCTTTATTCAGGCACAAATTATACAGTTGGCCGGGTTAACAGCTAGTGTCTAAATGTTCGCGTGCAAGACTTTCTCAATTCTTAATAAAGAAATTTAAACTGATAGACCTGATTAGGTTTTTCTATACAGGGTAGCTCATCGAAAACGTGCCGCAAGGCATTACAGGGTAGTAATGAACTTTTCGTCCAAATCCAAAAACAGGTAAAGTTTGCTTCTGAGGGGGACAACTTTTGGCGCAAAAATCATAGCAAAATCTTCAACCCCCTAAGTGGGGGTGCCATCCCCCAAATTTTTTTAAATGGGAATGGGGGGTCAATTGGGTAGTCATTAGAAAGGGCTTTTAATTCTCTATACATCGATTCTTACTTTTTGAAAATCGATCCATTATTTTAGAAAATATGCAGCTTTGAAAATACGAACAATATTTTTGACGAGAAATGCGAAAATCGATTTAATTTTACTTCAAAACTTACGGTATTAGCTTGGTAAATTCCTTCAAAAGAATTCGCTGTTTTTTTTTCTGATTTGCGAATTCTTTAGCCTGATTTTGGTGAGCAAAAAATTGTCCGCTTTTTGTTTCGTATTTAGATAGGCCACAAGAAGTTGCTAGATAACTGTCTTGTGACTTGTAGTTGAAGAGTACCAATACTGCCGAGTCTTTTAAATTGATTAATTATGGTGTACTCAATTCCAGAAAGAGTAGAAATTATTGAGCTTTTTTTCAAAAACAATGAATGCGGAAATCGGGTCGCCGAACTGTTCAACCAACGGCATCCTGAGAAACATGCGTCTGGAAAAATTGTTCGCGAATTGGTGGCCAAATTTCGCGAAACTGGCTCCGTTCATAACAAAAAGAGGCAGGTTGAAAATCCGGTACTAAATGAACCTACGGAAATAGCGGTATTGGGGCAAGTGGCAATGGATAGTACGCTGAGTACAATGCAATTGGCTACTGCGACAGGAGTGAGTCGTACAAGTGTCCAACGAATATTAAAAAAATACAAATTCCATCCTTATAAGATTCGGCTAGTGCAAGAGCTAAATGAAGACGATTTTGATCGTCGTTTGCAATTTTGCGAAATAATGACTGAACGAGCGATAAACGATAATTTCCTCTTTAATGTGTGTTTTTCGGACGAGTGTACGTTCTTCTTGAATGGTTTAGTGAATCGCCATAATTGTCGTTACTGGGCTGATACCAATCCAAGGATTTTCCATGAGACACACTCCCAACACCCCCAGAAGTTGAATGTATGGGCAGGTATTTTTGGAAATTCCATTGTAGGTCCTTTTTTCCTTCCTGGAAATTTGACAGGCGATATGTACTTGGATTTACTACAAAATGTCATCGACCCAGCTCTAACAAATATCATAGAGGACGACCCTGCTTACAATGAACACGAACTGATTTTCCAGCAAGACGGAGCTCCTCCACATTACTCGCTCAATGTGCGCAATTACCTAAATGAGACGTTTCCAGGACGCTGGATAGGACGAAGAGGTGCAATTGAGTGGCCCCCTCGGTCACCCGACTTAAATCCTTTAGATTTCTTTCTCTGGGGGCACATTAAAAGCAAAGTTTACAGCACTCCACCTGATACCTTGGAAGATCTGCGAGGACGAATCATTAATGTATGTCGCGAAGTAACACCGCAAGTGCTCCAGAATGTTCGACAACGGTTTGAAGACAACCTGTATCATTGTATGCAAGTTGGCGGACAACATTTTCAGCATTTACTTGACTAATACCGTAAGTTTTGAAGTAAAATTAAATCGATTTTCGCATTTCTCGTCAAAAATATTGTTCGTATTTTCAAAGCTGCATATTTTCTAAAATAATGAATCGATTTTCAAAAAGTAAGAATCGATGTATAGAGAATTAAAAGCCCTTTCTAATGACCCCCCACTTGACCCCCATTCCCATTTGAAAAAATTTAGGGGATAGCACCCCCACTTAGGGGGTTGAAGATTTTGGTATGCTTTTTGAGCCAAAAGTTGTCCCCCTCAGATACAAATTTGACCTGTTTTTGGATTTTCGATGGGCTACCCTGTATATTAATTGTACGAAAACTACCTAAATCCCAAACAGGATTTTATTAAAGTTATCTCTGGCTGTTACGTCTCAAAGTGGATTCCAAACTCCAGACTCTTGAATTAACGTTAGCTCCTTGATTTCAGGATCCCAGATTTCGTTATTTTTTCTATTTGGCTGGCTGCCCATCTAGAATATAAGGCCCGTTCAAATTTCGAAGCACTAGCACTAATATAAAGAAGTATTTAAAAAATCACATAGAGAGATTGGTAGTCACAAACATAATGTTATAGATTTGGGGAGTAAATACTATATTCAACACATTAATTATAAATACAGCATTGTGTTTGCAGTTAGTAGGCACATTTCCAGAACTTTCCGAAGAACCTAGATAAATAGTTGATTATAATTCTTGAAGCTGATCATGCGTTTTGAGATTTGTGACTTCAGCTCGTCCAATGGCGATCAGCGCTGTAATAAGAATTTTTTACTTGTGCTTTTGCGTATTAAAATAGATAATGATCCTAATAAATATATAATTTAAATTATTAATTTCAAGAATTGATTATCTATTGTTTCATTACTACTTTGTAAACTTTTTAAACTCTAGTTGAACTAACTATTTTTTTTTAGCATATATCATGGCCACGTCAGATTTTGTGACACAATTTTACAATTTAGAAGGTGATTTGGTATCGGAAAGAAAAAAGAATTTTTTTAAACTTCTAAAAACGCAACCTTCTCTAAATGAAGATGATTTGAAGAGTTTATGCCCAAGAACACATCTAGAAAGGCTATTTCAAATTGACATATTTATTCATTTTAAAATGTCTTCAAAATTACTGGAAGTAATTAAAGGAGGAAATGAAATATTTATAAGCAAGATTTTAAAACATCCCACGCTTTTATTGGAAATTTTTGGGAAGATTTCTCTAGAGGCTTTTGTTAATGATTTTCTTCCAACCACATCTTATGCATTAAGAATGAAGATACTGAAGAGACTTTCTTTAGTCTTGAGCGAATCCCAGATGGACGAGATTGTTTCTTCAGTACATAAACGGTAAGATTTTAATTATATCTATGTGACTTATTTTTTAATGTCTGTATCTACATATACATAATATACAATGTCCACACATTGTTGCTTTATGCTTATGTGGACTACAGTGTTATTGTAGCTATATGTTCGCTACATTCAGTATCCGCGTTAAAATAGCTAATATTAAGACGTCACTAACCGCTGCCTTACGACTCATTTGCATTCAGCTAAGAAATTTAAAACACATCTGTGTTATGTGGGAAGGCAAGCACTAACTGTGCTGGAGTCTCTCTGACGTCTTGTGGTGACAGAAATGGTGTCCCTGTTTTTTCACTGTTAAGCAAGCAATGACGGAGGATATGTATAAAATCTTCGTCTTTGCATCAGTATATCGTGCTGGCTTACAAACCAGTTCAGGAACGTATGTTCTCCAATTTCCAGTGCAGTGGAAAAAGAGCATCAAAGAGCATCAGTGTATAACTTTCACACACAAACAATGGACTACTTTACAGTAGTTGTACACTACTTTGTAAAATTACTAGTATGATATACTTCGTCTATTTACAATAAAACATTTCATTTACACCACTATATATGATGGTGCGAGCTGTATTTAAATCTTGCATTATACTGGGTACCTCAAGAAATATTTCTCATACAAAACTAAAACAATCATTCTCTTTCAACACGGAGCCTTTTTTATTTTGTTTTCTAGATACAGGAAGTTATTTTTTCCATTTTCTTATATATCTCCAAAATATATTTAGTCGTTTGATTCAAATTCGAGTTATGAAAATTGCTAATATTATATATCTTAACATTAAAAGAATTGGATAAGATCAAGGCTGCACACACGGACTGTCAATGAAATAATTTTGAAAAAAAAATGAATTTGATAGTACAGAGTAAGAGATTATTGTATCGAAGACTAAATCTGCAGGTGCAACTGATGGCCATTTTCACTTTTCTGTGATTCTGTTCAAATTAATTTAAAAAAAAAATAACAAAAGTAAAATTGAAGAAGTATAAAGTGATGACTTTCAAAACATATTAACATAACTCGCTAGATAACTGCAACAACAAAAAAGATAGCACACTATCTGGTCATAGTGCTACCGTCGATTGCTACCAGAGCGCTTTAGTTTTTTGTTTGTTCAGAAATCATTTGTTTTCCTAATTCGTTATATCTTATTTACAGGTACGGACTTAACATAGCTACAAAACTAATCCACACATGCAGTTCAAAGAAGATTAAAGACTTTTTGTCTAACCATGAAGTGGTCCTGAAACCAAGACAGGTTAAATTTATTTTTGATAAAGATACTGAACTATTTTTATTCTATATAAATTATTACAAGACATTACCAGAAAAATCAGAGTATAGTCACACAAATGTATGTCAATACGTCGCGTTAAAAAATCCGAAAATGTGGTATAAGCTACACGAGGAACACTCCATTTCTAAAATAAATTTAGGACGCAGAACAAGTAAAAACTTTTTACGTCACAGTAATGACGATTTTCTTAGTAGTATCAAACATTATTCGGAGTTTTTAAAATTAGATGTTATTGTTCGAAAGTTGCATGGTAATTTTAAAGAAGTTTATTTTGAATTCTTTCCAAGAGATACATATAATATAAATACATATAATTTTTCCCACAAACTACTTCGACATTACCCAAAAAACAAACAGTGGGATATGTTTGCGCAAACCTATTTAAAAGTCTTTGGAAATAATATTTTAGATAACTTAATTTACTTGAATTCGGATTTTATAAAGTTGTTTCCAAATAAAACTGTCATGAACAAATGGGCAGAAAGACACTATAAAAAACACAAATCAAATGACTTGTTAAAATATTGTGATCCGAATACAACGATTCCTTTGATTAAAGAAAAAATTAACGTTACGTCAGATATTTACGAACGAAAAATGTTAGTAGTACTCTTACTAGAAAACTGTCAGAAAAATGAAGATTATACGTCATTAGAAGCGGTATTAAAATATATTTGTTTTCGACATCGAAACGAAGACAATACTTCAGAAATTCTTGATAAAATTAGGTATTTATTTAAATTGGAGAAACTTAATCAAAACCACTGGAATCACGTAACTGAAATGCTTACAATCTTAAAATTAAGAAAACAGTTGTATTACGGTACTGTTACATTTTACTTAAAATATGTAGAATATTTAATTCTCCATGGAAAACCTCATCGAAAAGAACTGATAAGGTACATAAAAGAAGCAAATAGAAACAGTCTTTATGTTGATTTAGAAAATAAAAAAGTCAATAGGCAAATTTTGATTGAAATAATTAGTAACTATCGAAAAGTGGAAGAAATCGATGACACAAAATTTAATGAGAAATTTATCAATATCTTAATTGATTTTAATGAAAGTAATACTGAATATATTATTGATTTATCAGATTTTCCAGGATTTCTTCCATACATAAAGTCAATATTGGATTCTGATTATACGACGTTGGAAGACAATGAGAGGAATCTATTAATTAAGGTTATCAATTATAATTTTAAGTTTCCAGAAAAGCCAATAATAGTAATTGAGGAAACTCGACTTCTTGAAATATTTCAACAAGATATTGAAAAAAGCTTTAATTTTGGCCATATTGTGGAGATGAGTATAAAAAAACTGGATCGATCAGAATTTGACAATAACATCATCGAGTTATTTTGGGATAACCTAGAAAAATTTAAATATATTGATTTCTGTCGAAGCATTATAAACTGGCTATTTCTAAATAATCCAAAAGCTATAACTCCTTATTTCGATTTGATATGGATGGCGAACCAAACGTACATTAAAATTAAAGAAATTAAATTTATGTCTCATTTGGGTTTCGACAAGAAAATTGTAGCCTATTGCACCGATAAGTTGACATGGCTTGATGATTTCTTGAAAGATATATTTAAAAAACAGGCTCCTAGCAGTACCAAAATGGAAACTAATAGCGAACCCAAGAAAGAAATTGACCTAGATATGTATAAAAAAGTAATTGAGTATCTCTCTATATTATTAACAACAGATGAGTACATCGAAGTTATTTCGAAACGATTTCTACCTGTTAAAGAAAAGATAAATCTTGCTGATGAAGCGTTAAATCAAATGTACTACTTACAATGTGAAGTTGCAGGATCCTTGAAGAAACTGCATGAACCTGTAATTGTTCTTCCTACGTTGATGAAGTTCTGCGTAGGTGACTATTTGCAGTCTGCCTTGCCCTCACTCTATAGTGTTTGCTATAGAGCTCCAGAGGAACTGCTGTATTCCTACATGGATGTATTATCCAAAAGAGCAGTTTCCGTGAAAAAGCACGTATTGTTTTTAAGTTGCGAGGTTCTGAATTATGATTACGCTTTAAGTATGTTGCGGAACTTTGACGAAAATCATATCTCCAGTCAGAAACATGTATTCTCTGCTACCTTAAAATATTTTTGTAAAAATCCTTGTGAAGAGTTGCTAACTTTGGTGGCTTTGAACTTAAGTACAATTGATAAAAATGACGATGAAACGTTAACGAGGTTGGTAAAAATTGTTGTACCAAAAAAATATAAAACTGTGTATATCCAAAAATGTTGGTATTTCTTTGAAAATTTAAGAAAGAAAGATATTAACATACAACAATATTTACAATTATTTTTAAATGCTATTTTAGATTCAGATGACGTTTTATTATCTTTGACAATTGATTTTTATAAGCACGTTATTACACATTATTTTAAAAATCCTCCTAAGGATGATCACAATTTATACGGCATTACCCGCTTTGTGTGTTTTTTTTTACGAAATGTGAGATTAGAACAAGCTGGCAATTTCAAATTGATTTTTGATATCATTCTCTCATTTCCAACACACGCTATTAAATCATTTTTTGATAATTTCTATGACTTAGCGACAGACGATGTAAAAAACAATAATAAAATTGATACAGCTAATAATTATTATATAGAACTGTTTAAACAACATTGGTCCAATACTTTTACGCCCATTAAAATGTTCAATGAGCACGTGTTACTTGATTTATTATATTTTAAATGTAAATCATCTGACAATATTGTCAAGAATTATGCAAATGAAGTATTGATTTATTTAGAAGAATTAATTGCAGAATATGGGCCCTATATTTATTATAAATTTAAAGACTTAGTGTTGCACAAACACACATTCACTAAAAGGGAAATATATTTATTTCTTTATAATATTCTAACAATTAAAAATTCAACTATTAATTATATATTGGTTATTGATTTAATAAAAGGTCAGTCTCGTGATAATGATGTAGATGATATTCATAGTAAAATTATGGAAATTTTAAAGAATTCAGATCAGCTTATTGTGTCTGTGTACTTTAACAGTTATTTTGGATAGAATGTATGAATATGTAAATATACGGGGTAAGTCGTGCCTTAATGGCAGACGTCAAAATATAGCGATTGAGCCAAACATGCCTTAGTCAATTGTTGCTCCTTTTCGTTCTACAAGGTGTTAAAATTGAAAAGATATTTTCGATTTTTTGCTATATTTTAAGTATGTATGGATCGATTGTTATGATTGTAGATTTATGTTTGTTGAGGTGACAAATACGAATATGCAAACAGTGTTGGGGTCACGTCTAGGGTCGCTAGTTATACTGTCCTATCAATGTGAAAATATGTTTTGTATTTTATAATTTTGAATTTTGAAAGTTAGAAATGTTTTTACAACAATCTGCCATTAAGCTGTGTACCATTATTAATTACTCACCCTGTATATTAATTTCTAGTAATGCTTGAAAAAATTATATACAAGATAAGTACATAGTAACAAACTTTAAAAGTGAAAAAATTTCATTTTTACTTGTACATTATACTGCTATGTAGGAAGAAAATAAATCATGTTGGATTACTGATAATTAATCATTTCTCTAAATATTGTGATTGTATTTTCTATTTATAAGCTTTGTACTGATTTTTTGTTGTTATTAATATATATTTTATGTACTATTTAATGTGTTTGTATACTTGACATGTGTTTTTCCAGTTAATAGATCCTTGAAATCGTTTAAATATGTAGTCTTTCTTCTTCAGATTAGAAAAAAAGTTAAAAATTGCTCTGTGTGACACAGCTCAATAAGAAACTGCACTTATTACTTATTATTACTTATTATTGCTTATTTATAGAATAAGGATAATTATTACTCTATAATTATTCTGTTCAGAAAGCTGAATTTAAAGAATTAAATTGATGTTAATTAAAGGCACTTTCAGGCAAATGAAATCGACAGTTACTTATGTTTTTTGAATTACCTACTTATTTCGAAAGAAATTTTATTATTTTTAGATTATTAAAATATACATAGTTATGACAAAGTATTAATTAAAAAAAAAACTAAACGTAACTCTGTTAATACAAATTTTTGGAAACATGTCAAGAACTTGTACCACTATTTTTATGAATAAAAAATGACTTTTTGTGCTACTAATGATTGAAATTTTGTTACGGTTTATAGTATTTATATAATTTATTTATGAGTGCCTTTCTGCGACTTTCATATTTACGTTATTTTATAAAATTAAATTGCATGAAGGTATTGCATAAATATATTTTTAAGTAAATTAAAAAAATATATTAATTTTTCATTATTATTACATAGTAAATGAAAGCAATAATACAAAAGAAACATAGAAACAAGAACGAAACATATTTAATATTATACAATTTTTTGAATGTTTATGATCAATTATTACAAGAATCGTTGAAGATATAGACTTTGAAATTGGTGGAGTGCTGTTTCCTCATTGGTGCTACATACAGGTAAAATTTGAACAAAAACTAATGAGGAACGTCGGAATTAGAGAAGTCTGAAGTCAAATATCAAATGTAAAAGTTATTTGAATTTGCAAAAAAAAATACTTATTATAACCCCCCTTAAAAAGTCCCCTTTCAAAGAAAAGTAGTGAGGTAATCTGCACCTACACCATACTTAGTTTTCACTAATACTTTCTTCTTAGCTCCAGGAAGGACGACGATGATCCTTCCCTTGGGCCAACGAAGAGGGGGAGCATCGTCCTCTTTTGGAAGCACCGCAAAACCCACAATTGATGATAGATCTATATCAAACTTCCATTTGATCCCCTACTGACGTTAATGTAGGTCACATACCTAAAGAAGTGTGATGTAGGTATCGATTTGTCCTAGTACAAAAATGTTGGGACATTTGACGTTATATGGTTGAATAGTGATTTATTTTTGAATTTTCCTCATTGATTTCTGGAATTGCGGTTAATGGCGTCTCTCCAATAATTATATAATGGCCTGATGTTAACGCTCCCAGGCCGTGTTTATTATACATACGACAAACATTCAAGGGGTTATTCCCTGGACTGTTCTAAGAATATTTTGTCCTCCGATGATTTTTGAAAAGCTGCTTCCGAAGATACAGGACGAGAAAAATAACATTTGATTACGGAAAATTACATGTAAAGCCTCTTAAACTACAAGAACTGTTGAAAATGACTACCTCCTGTAGTATAACGACCCTTGGTTCGACAAAAAATAAGTAAACGTAGTTGTGGCCAAAAATATGTGATCGTCATAAGGACTACCTACGTTGTGTGTATCCATTTTTAATTGACCGGAAGGCGCTGGCTACTAACATTGTAGAGGGGATGTATGGTTTAATTATATAAAACAAAAGCAGAGTAAATACACCTAACCTTTATTTACATACAATTCAAATTAAACATGTGACAAATAGAAAGAACAACANTTTTCCAGGTAATAGATCCTTGAAATCGTTTAAATATGTAGTCTTATTTCTTCACATTTGAAAAAAAGTTAAAAATTGTGACACAGCTCAATAAGAAACTGCACTTATTACTTATTACTTATTATTACTTATTATTACTTATTATTGCTTATTTATAGAATAAGGATAATTATTACTCTATAATTATTCTGTTCAGAAAGCTGAATTTAAAGAATTAAATTGATGTTAATTAAAGGCACTTTCAGGCAAATGAAATCGACAGTTACTTATGTTTTTTGAATTACCTACTTATTTCGAAAGAAATTTTATTATTTTTAGATTATTAAAATATACATAGTTATGACAAAGTATTAATTTAAAAAAAAACTAAACGTAACTCTGTTAATACAAATTTTTGGAAACATGTCAAGAACTTGTACCACTATTTTTATGAATAAAAAATGACTTTTTGTGCTACTAATGATTGAAATTTTGTTACAGTTTATAGTATTTATATAATTTATTTATGAGTGCCTTTCTACGACTGTCATATTTACGTTATTTTATAAAATTAAATTGCATGAAGGTATTGCATAAATATATTTTTAAGTAAATTAAAAAAATATATTAATTTTTCATTATTATTACATAGTAAATGAAAGTAATAATACAAAAGAAACATAGAAACAAGAACGAAACATATTTAATATTATATATATTAATATTATACAAGAATCGTTGAAGATATAAACTTGGTATTGTGCTATTTCCTCATTGTTGAGGTAAAATTTGAACAAAAACTAATGAGGAACGTTGAAATTAGAGAAGTCTGAATTTCAAATGTCAAATGTAAAGGTTACTTGAATTTGCAAACAATTTTCCTTATTACCACCCCCTTGAAAAGACTCCTTTCAAAGAAAAGTAGAAGGTATCTGCACCTACAGCATGCTGAGTTTTCACTAATACTACGCTCTTCTTATCAGCTTCAGGAAGAACGGCGATGATCCTTTCTTTGGGCCAACAAAGAGGGGGAGCTTTGTCCTAATTTGGAAGCACCGCAGAACCCATAATTGATGATTGATAGATCTGTGTCAAACTTCCATTTAGTCCCCTTTAGCTGACGTTGATTTAGGTCGCATACCTAAAGAAATGTGAGTAGGTATTCGATTTGTCCATCTAGTACAAAAATGTTGGGACATTTGACGTATATGGTGGAATATCATTGAGTGACTTAATTTTGAATTTTCCTCATTGATTTCTGGAATTGCGGTTAATGACGTCTCCCCAATTATAACGAGTTATCCATTTTCTCCTTGGGAAAGTAAAGTTTAAAAAAGCACACTGAATATTTAAATTTCGATGGTACTTTTATTTCATAATAAAGTTTGGACTATGTCATTTTGCGTGAAAAACAATATCATTCAAATATCCTCCACGGAACCGTTTGCAGGACTCAATCTTTTTGAGGTAATTTTCGAAGACTTTTTCACACAATTCGGGCAATAATTTGGCCATAACTTGACGTATCTCGTCCTTCAATTACTCCAAAGTTGTGGGATTGTGCGCAAACCACGGTATTTCGTATAGCCCCAAAAAGAAATCCAAAGGCGTTAAATCGTAGGATTTTGGTGGCTAAGCCACATCGCCGAATCTCGAAATTACGCGTCCTGGGAATTTCTCGCGCAATAGAGTCATAATTGGCCGCGTTGTGTGGCATGTGGCCCCATTTTGTTGAAACCACATATCGTCCAGATCAAACTCTTCAATTTCAAGCTAAAAAAAGTCGATGATAATGGCGCCGCATGACAGGCCCAAATGCTGAGCTCAACTTGAAGTCGAAAGATTCAGGTCATCGTTAACACTTTCATTCACAGCGGCTATGTTTTCGATTGAACGGGCAAAACGATGATGCACAGGTCTTACGATGTCTGCTACCGATCCAGTCTATTGGAATTTCCTCACTGTATTGGTGGTTGTTTGCTGGGATGGACAATTATGTCAATCATAATCTCCACGTAATGCAGCCATCGAAGATCCACCATTTTCGTAGCATAATTTAATAATTTTAACGCGTTGTTCGGTCGTAAAACGTTCCATATTGTGAAATGGCAAATCTTTAACTAAACAAATACCAGTCTGGATGATAGTGACATTTGACAAATATCGATTGGCAGAGCTTTACTATCCCAAGCTCGAAATGGATAACCTATTATAATGGCCTGGTGTTAACCCTTCCAGGCCGTGTTTATTAAACATATATTAAGCAAACATAAAAAGCATATGTTAAGCAAACATTCAAGGGGTTATTCCCTGGACTTTTGAAAAGCCGCTTTGTTCCGAAGATACAGAGAAAAATAACACTTTACCGAAAATTACATGTAAAGCTTCTTAAGCTACAAGAACTGTTGAAAATGACTACCTCCAGCTAGGATGCAAGAATGCAGTCTTCTCCTCATTGACTGCCGAATTATTTTAAAAATACCAGGGTTGTTTCTTATTGAGTTACACCCAGCAATTATCCAATTTCTTAAATCTTCCACATTTTCCACAGGAGTAGTATAAACTAATGACTTTAAATGGCCCCATAAGAAGTAGGTAATCCGGGAATCGAGCAGGACATAAGTGAGGTCCACCCCGACCAATAAAACGAATTCCGTACGTTACTGTTAAAAACTCACGAGCAACCACACTAAAATGCGCTGGTGTATCATCGTGCATAAACCACATTGCATTTCTTGTTGCCAATGGTATATTCACCAGAAACTGAGTAGCGTTTGTACCTAAAAATTGCGATACACCTCGACTGTAAGTCTTCCTGGTAGAAATACCGGTCCAATCACCCACAGTTCCAACCCAAACGTTCAACGAGAAATGATGTTGAAAACGATCTTCAAGTAACTCATGTTAATTTTCTTC